ATTGTCTGCTGGCTCTGCGAGCGCGGAGGCGGCGCTGGTGGACGTGAACGTGTACCTGATCATCGCCATCTGCGCGGTGTCCAGCCTGCTGGTGCTCACCCTGTTGCTCTACACAGCGCTGCGGTGCTCCGCGCAGCCCACGGAGGGCGCGTGCGGGCCGGGGAAGCCGGTGCTGGTGTGCTCCAGCGCCGTGGGGAGCTGGTCGTACTCCCAGCAGAGGCGGCAGAGGGTGTGCTCTGGGGAGGGGCCGCCCAAGACGGACCTCATGGCCTTCAGCCCCAGCCTACCTCCTTGTCCGATTTCTTCAGAGGGAACAGGTGAAAAAGAAGCAGAATTAGGACATTTGAAAGAGGTGAGTTCAGATGTAAAGTTGTCTTTCTATTTCCCTCTTCCTCACAGTTTTTGCTTTCAGGTTAATCTTTAAATTTTCTGGTCGTCGTTATGGTATTTAATGAGTGTTATTGACATATGAGTTTATTCTTCAGTCAGAAATCCTAAGTCAAAAACAGTTTTTGTTGTATTCTTAATAGTTGGTAAAGATTGAGTATGTGAGCATTTGTAAGAAACAACATATTGTGAATACTTAAGCATTTAGAAAACATTTAAATGAAGCCAACCACAATTTTAAAAATTTAAATCTATTTTAAACATTTACAATATACCCACATACATGTTTTATTTTAAAGAGTATAAAAACTTTTTATATGAACATCTTTTTAAGAGGTGCATTAAAAAACAAAAAGCCTTGCCCTAGCTGGGTTGGCTCAGTGGATAGAGCATCAGCCTGCGGACTGAAAGGTCCAGGCTCTGATTCCAGTCAAGGGCACATGCCCGCGTTTGGGGCTTGATCTCCAGTAGGGGGCCTGCGGGAGGCCACTGATCAATGATTCTCATCATTGATGTTTCCATCACTCTCTCTTCCTCTCCCTTCCTTTCTGAAATCAATAAAAATATATTAAAAAACCAAAACCAAAACCATAAAACCCAAAAAGCCTTGTGCTGGTCCCTCTGCGTTTTCCTCTAGGCACATCTGCATTTCCCTGTCAGGTTTTCATATCTGATGTGATTTTCCTTTCACATTTCATTGGCACATGTATAAGCATGTCACCACCATAAAATTTTATTATTATTACTAGAGGCTCAGCACGAGAAATCGTGTAAGACCCACAGTCCCTCCCGTCACCGTGGGGGGACCCATCAAATCAACTAATGGGACCGCTCATTTGGTCGTTCCCTCCTTCTGGCCACTGGCTTTTTATAGATTGGATAAATAATACAAGTCATGGACAATTATGTACTTTTTAAAAAACCTGGATAATGCACTTGCCAACTTCCCAACCCATATGCTGCTATTGTCACTTATTTTAATTCTACATGTATTTTACATCTTTAAAAATATCTTTATTGTTGAAAGTATTGAATACACCCCTTCTTTCCCTCCCCCCCCC